CAGCAGGAAACAGTAAGGCTGTATATTTTTTTTTCCTTCATGGCATGGTAGAATGGGGCTCTCCCCTTTCTTACTCCAGGCAATATAACTGGTGGCTAATCTTCCCAATAGAATTTTCTCTTTGTATAAGAAAGTGATAACAAATAAAGTCTGGAAAGAAGTTTATCCTGATACTAAAACTAAAGATCTTTCTTACTGCTTCAACAGCTGTCCAAACAGCGTATATGTACAGTCTATACAACAAAGATCCAGCATGAAGTTGCAAAAAGAACTGCGAAATTAGTTCAACTACAACAAATGTGTGGCATTCAGCAAGGGTGGAACAAGGAAGTCTGTCCCTCTGAGTAAGGATGTTCAGTGCTTCCCATTCTCAGATTTTGTTTCAGTCATTTCTAACTTTGCCACAATTTCCTGGCGTGATGTTTGGATAATATTGTGGCCAAAATGATTCAGCTGTTTTCAAGCATGGGGAAAAAAATTGTTTTAGCCCCAGTAAAAAATCTTGATGGCCTTTTCTTTTGAAACGCTGGGGTGCTCCTATGTTCGGAAGCAAGAGCTTAAAATGTGGCTGAGTATGTCCTTTGTGTGGCCTGCTGTGCTTTTTGCCATCTTCCCAAAAATCTGCCCAAATTTTGCTCAGTAGAAACAACTTAGAATGGTTGTTTCTATAGGGTAGATGAGGTCAAGCTTGAGGGGGAAATGGCAGTTGAGTCTCTATCCGTTAGGGAACGCTCTCCAGTAGACCCCAGAAAGGAACCCAATTTTTCCGAGTTTCTCCATTCCTCTGTTGCCAGAAAATGGCTGTGAAACGTTCTAGTGGACTGTCCCACCTCCCAATAGAGCAAGTACCAAGAAAGGCTGACAACCTTTTACTGCTATTAATTGCTCCCTTAGCTCAAGTGATAGAGGTCAGCAAGGTGGTTTCTAATGCAATGACTGCCCATGTGGATTTCAACATGATGCTACATAAAAGAATTTCTGTTCTTTTTTTTCAGTTCCTTTCTTAAAAATGTATATTGAATGAGCATTATTAAGAGTGCTCAAAGTGAAAAATGCCAGAATTGAGGCTGCAATGCAAATGCAATCTTAATTTGGCCCCACATACTCATGGACCTACTCTGGGGGTGTAGGTAAGGAGGCTGTCGTCTGTAGGATGTCTGCTCTATTTGCTGTAGAAGTTGCAAGGGGTGCAGTGAATAGAGCTTGGGCCTGCAGGAAGAGGGAGGAGGGGGCTCATGGTTAAGAGCTAAATGCCATTCTGGAGACTTGGATTTTATCTGTGCCTCTGCCACTGAGTTTCCATATGATTATAGTCAAGTTGGTTAAACTGAGTTTTCAGTGGTGATCATTGGTTGTTAGTTTTTCATTTTCTAAATGCCCAATATGAGACCCTGGGGTCTGATTTGAAGAAGTGCTGAACACCCCCAGCTACAGCTGCAGTTAATGGGAACTGCGATCTGAACATATAAACCTATATATAATGGTAATGGTCTGAAGAAATTAGGACCCAAGTCTTTCCTAAATACCCCAAATCAGGGGATACCTTTGATCTTAATTTTTGTGTGTGTAAATTTTGTGCTTGTAAAAATGGGGATAAAGGCACCCCCCATCAAACAGAGTGTTGTGAACATAAATTTATGCATGTCTATGAAGTATTGAGATGCTATAGTGAGGTGTGCTGTAGGGGAGCCCCGAGGTAAATAATAATTTTGTCTTGCAGCAGGGTTTAAGTAGTGTGTATCAAATAGGGCCTAGGGCCACATATTGAATGAAAAGAAGAAAACAATATATGAATGGCTGCTCATTAAGTGAGCACCATCTATCCCATGCAGTGAGGCAGGGGGCTTAAGGAAAAAAATGATATGTGATCCTGTGATTAAAGAGGGTATCATCATGGGTACATATGAGGGGGGTTGAATTTCAATCAGGCAATTTCAGTCTTCCTTATTGAATCCCTGACTTCACAACCTTGATAATATTCTTTTTCCTTTGTGCAGTCAGAATCCTCAGGGCACAGGGGTTTCACGCTGGGCATGGTGCACTCCTGCAGCTAGGAATCTGGTCAGCTAATGGGGCTCTCAGCCACAGGGAAGACCCTGCTCACTTGCAAATTAAAGCTCTATAGCAACCAGCTATAAAGTTAGTACACTTTTTCAAGGTCTAACTTTATAGCTGGTTGGAGCTTTTTTATTGTATGATAGCTACTTTGCATGTAGAACTGGTCTCCAGGTAATTGTGCAATTAACCAGTTAATTTCCTAAGTATCCTTTGTATAGCTATAAATAGGGAGAAATTGCTAAGACTTGCAAGATTACTGGAAAGGTATTCTTATTATAGCAAAACTCTCTCTTCCTTTCCCCATCAGGGCTACAGTAGTTGAACCAGGTGAAGGTTCCCCTTCAGTCAAAAGAAAGAAAGAAAAGATCCCTTTATTCAAGCTACTGTAAAAAGCACTGATCGTTACCCATTCTATTAGATCCATTGACATCCATCAATTGATTTATCTGGTTAAACAATCTTGTTGGTGAATGGGTGAGTATGGGTGAATCCCATGAGTAGATCACAGGTCAAAATGAAGCATCCCTGCCATCTGGCTCTGGCGTCATTCAAGTATGTAGATGATTACTTAAAACCCGGACTTCTTGGGGTGCCCTGCATTAAGATACCCACATACACATTCATGTATGTGTATATTTATGTAGTGTTATGTAAACCTAAGGAAGAATACCTTTCATTCAAAAGTTTGTCTAACTTTATCTCAACCATGCAGTTTGTCCGATAAAAAATGTCAACCCCCACCCCAAATCCTTGCCTATTGTATATTTATGTAGGCATACATGTATTATAGAACACATACACAAATGCATTCACATGTGAGAGAGAGACACACATGCTCTAGAAATAGCACATAGTAGAAGGTTGTTGGACAAAGGATGTCCTGAACAACAGATCCTAAACTTACTGCTAAATATTCAGGGGCAGGGGTGGGTGTGTGTGAGAGGAGGGGATCTTTGCCAAGATGGTAGAATAAGAGAGACAGGCCATATATACATTGGCCCAAGAACCAGGGGAGTCAAATGAGAGCACTGCACACATTTCTCTGACATAAGTTGTGCGTATTAAAACTGGACCCCAAAATCTATCTCATTATTCTTCATGAAGAATTTTCCAGTGATTCTGTAGGTTTTACCTGTGATTTTGTGGGTATGGTTGTCAGGTAACCCACCCACCCACCCAAAGATATAGAAACACATCTTTTCCCTA